GAACGTCTGACCCTTAAATGACATGATCTGTGTTTTGAGAGAACTGGCTTCACGGAGTATTACCTTATATTATACTATATTATATCTGATAAAATATTACCAGCTTTGACTCTGAGTCTTTGAAAGCAACAGCCCTAAAGAACAGCTGTGTGTCTTATGTGATTCAAGGTGCCAGTTAGGGGCACTTTCTATAGAGATGCCAGAGAACTCCTCTTGGAGCGTCATACTAGAGAACATCGGGCCTCAAATGAACTAGTTTCATCTTTATTTATTTATTGCCTCATAAGAACTCTGCAACCTACTATGTCTCTGTCTTTTTCTGGATTCTTTCAGGAAACTCTCAGGTAAATCTAATGCTAGAATTTCAAGTTTCTCTCCACCTGCTGATCATCTTATCTTTATTTCCATGGCCTAAGCTATTGGAAGCATGACCTTTGTGTCTGAGTTAAGTGCTCACGCTCCTCGGAGAGGGCCCTGGCTCACTAAGGAAGGAGGGAGGGTGGGTGACGAGAATGGTCAGGGTGGGAAGGCATGAGTCCCATGTGGTCTGCAGGGGAGAGCTGTCCCCACCTTGGCTCCATCATATCACTTGTCCCCAAGTATGGCCAGGTGAGCCACCTGCCAATAAATACTACACAGGTCTCCCCTAGGCCCCCGAGGGTGCTCTTCTTCTCCCCCCAAACATCCTCTATCAAGAATTGGACTTGTAGGCAGGCATTGAGGGAACGTCCCTGTTGGGTTGGAGCCAATGCACCATTTAGCCACCGCTCCTCATGGGCTGACAGTCTCAGCCAGCAAGTCCCATACCTTGATGTGGCCCCCAAAGGTATCAAAGTCAAAGAAGTCGCAGATGTGGTGGTTGTAGGGGTAGCATGCGTCCTCCATCTCCCCCATCACCACAATGTTCCGGGTCAGGAGCCCGACCTCAGCCCGCATGTCCACACCATCAATCTCTTCCCCGATGTGCAGGTACATTGGCTTCCCTAGGGCAGAACAGGGCGGGTGGGGAATAACAGGTACCGGGTGGTTAATGCATTTGGCTGCTAACCCAAAGGGTGGAGTTTCCAGTCTACAGGGAGGGTGCCGCTGGAGAAAGGCTTGGTGATCTCTTCTGAAAAAAACGTGTCGGGCTCAGTTCTGCTCTGACACACATGGGGTTGGTAGGGCCTGGGTCAGAATCAACTGAACAACGACCGTCTTTGTTTGTAGGTTGGCTTTTTGGTGTTCCTATCTTCTCTGGACCCCCTGCCAGAGGCTCTGACACAACGCTTATTTGCCACCAGGACCTGTGTTCATGGAGGTCCCTGGAGCCACGGTAGAGAAGAAGGCCCAGGGTTTTCATGCATTTGAAATCATCTCCCTGAACCTAGAACCAGGACTCGGAGCCACATATGCTCAGAGCTGAAGCCCATGGCAGAGATTGCCAGCTCTAGCTGTGTGGGGGACGCTTCGTTTGAGTTCCTCTTGTTCTGTTTTCAAACTTTTCCATCCGTAAAAAAAAGTTAACAAATAAGAAAGTAAAATGGCTTTGGACCAAAAGCTGAATGCTACACCCTGTTTCTGCTGTAGCCAGAGTTCCTGATCCCATCGTCTCCATTCCCCACCACCCCGCCCCCCTTTTTCCTCACTCCTCTCAATAGATTGTTAAATCCAGTGCAATCACTCCCTTCCGTTTCCTCTTCTCCCCTCTGAGCTGGAAAAAAATAGTATATTAAGAAGCATACGCTGACAAGAGTTCCAGTTTTGGAATTGGGTTTGATTCAGAGGCCCAAATTTCTGCCTCTACAGCAACTCCCAGATCTTTTCTGGGATCAAGAACTTTGGCTGGTTCTAATTCGCTCATTCCTAAGACTGCTGAGCTGGCTGGTTGGTGCTTTGTCTTCCATTGGAGGTGCAGCTCCAGCAAGAAACAGTCTCTGATGGAACCACACCACCTACGCCACTCTGCCACATTTGACCTTGACTTGGGCAACAGAGCCCAAACCTCAACCCAGAGTCCATGCCCCACCCGGCAGTGCCCACAGACAAAGGCTGCAGTCATAATTATCCCTTTAGCATCAGTTGCCCAACAGTGACCTTGCCCTGACTTCTCATCCCAGAAGAGCTGGCTACCCTACCACCCAGTCACCGGCACACACCCTGTGAGGCGGCGGCATTTCCAAAGATGTTTACTCTTCTAGAATTCTGCAGACTCATGAGATGTTTGTCTTTCTTTCTTTTTTTTAAAAAGGCATCTTGGTTCAAGATGCCCCCCGTTGGCCTGCTTGTTTTTTTTCAAGGGGTGGTCTCTCCTGATGGCATGTCCAAAGGACGTGAGATGAAATCTGGCCGTCCATCCGGGCTTCTCAGCAGCATCCTGGCTGCGCTTCCTCTGGGACAGATTCGTGCTTTCTTCTGGTTGTCAGGTATGTCCGATACTCTTCACCTGCACCACAATCCAAATGCCCCGTTCTCCTTCCGCCTTCCTTATGGACTGCCAGTGTGCACATGCACACGAAGGGGTGACAAACACCAGCCACGGCTGGGGGAGCACCTTAGTCCTCAGAGACATAGCTGCTCTTTGACACTTTAAAGGCACCTGCTGCATCAGAAGTCATTTGCTTTCTTGACGGCTGCTTCCTGAGCACGGATTGTGAATCTACGTCAAATCAAACCCTTGCCAACCCAGATCTTTCCTCTCTTGATCATGATGAGGAGTCCTGGTGACGTAGGGATTGTGTGTTGGGCTGTGATCCGCATGGTCGGCGGTTCAAAACCAGCAGCAGCGCTGAGGGAGAAAGACTGGGCTTTCTACTCCCGTGCACAGTTCCAGTCTCAGAAACCCACCGGGGTGGCTGTGAGTCAGCACTGACCCGATGTCAGCGAGCTTGCTTCTGGGTTTGGCTTGGTTTTAGTCCACACTGAAGGCTGCGGTCTTCGACCTTCATCAGTAAGTGTTCCAAGTGCTCTTCACTTTCAGTAAGTGGGAATAACAGTCACATGTTAAAGGGCTCGACTGCTAACCAAAGGGTTGGTGGTTCAAATCCATCAGCCCCTCCATGAGAGAAAATGTGGCAGTTTGCTTCTGTACAGATTTTTGACCTTGGAAATCCAGTGGGGCCCGTCTTCTCTGTCAGACTAGGTCGCGATGAACTGGAGCAGACGGGCAGCAGTGGGCTCTGATGAGGTGGCTCTAAAGTGAAATGGGTCCATCAGTGGGCTCTTCCAAGAAGAACGCCTGGCAGACAAGAGCACGTAGTAGGTGGCTTGTGGCATTGGTGTGAAGGGCTCCTCCACATGTCTGTGGGAACAGACACTGTCCTCCAATTGAGCCTGGAACCGGTCACTAGCGCCATCCAGACAACGCTGGGAGGGGCTAGAAAACGGATGCGGCCACTTGCTTTTCCCATGGGAGAAACTGGCCGGGGTGCCAGAGAGACTTCCAGATCGATGGAGGGATTGTGTTTATCAGACCCCCAGGAGCTGGGTACCTAGAAGTCCAATTAAGAGCGGCAAGAATTATCCCCTTCCCCAAAGCCTCCTATCAGGGCCTCTAAACAAACCTCACCAGCACCATCCCCTAGGGTGGCCTGCTTATCTGCTCTATGACTGCATTCACAGGCCCCTCCCAGACTGCTTTCCCAGGGAAGCCCAGTGCCCCCAGATTCCCAGCATCCCATCCTGTCTGTGCTGTTCTCCTGCCGGCCTCCACCCTCCTGCCGGCCTCCACCCTCCCTCCTGTCTCTAGCGCTGATGCCTGCAGGGCAACCAAGGAACAAGCAGTCAGAAGAGCCCTGGGCACAGGATGGGAGGGGTCTGAGGAGCTTTCTTTGTGCAGAGACTCCCACAGAGGGCTTCCACCCTAACTTCTCCTAGTGTTTACCCCTGGTCCACTCCCCTGAGGAGCCTCTCGCCCTGGGAGACCCAGGACTAGCCATCCTAGGGTAAAGCAAGCATGAACATCAGGGGTCTTCCAGGGAGATAAACTGACCTGGATACTTAACAGGATTAAGTAGGTGCGTCTCATGAGAAGCCACCACCCGTGTGTCAGTGGAGGCTTGGATGCTGCTGCAGTGTCAAAGAAACTGACCTGGATACATAACAGGATTAAGTAGGTGCATCTCATGAGAAGCCACCACCCGTGTGTCAGTGGAGGTTGGATGCTGCTGCAGTGTCAAAGATGTCTCAGTGGAGCTTCCAGACGGAGCCGGGCTACGAGAAAAGGCCTGGGCTCTGACAATCAGCCACTGAAATCCCAGTGGATCAGGAGGGTCTGAGCTGCAACCGATCCTGGGGATGGTGCAGGCTGGGGCAGTGTCTCCCTCCACTGTGCCTGGGGTCACTGGGAGTTGGGAGCTGGTCTGAACAGACCCAGCCCGTCGCTCCCCAGGGATGCTCCTACTCCCACCTCCCAAGCAGGCTTTGCATCTTCCCAAACTGAAACAGGCAGGAGTCCTGGTGGTGCGGTGGTTATGTGTTGGGCTGCACTCCACATGGTTGGCGGTTCAAAGCCACCAGCAGCTCTGAGAGAAAGCCTGGGCTTTCTACTCCCATAAATCGTTCCAGTCATGGGAACCCACGGGGGGGAGGGGGGGGCGCTATGAGTCAACCTTGACTCGATGGCAGTGATGGTTCCTGCAAGAACCCAAAGCAGACCCACTGACATCCAGTCAATTCTGGCTCATAGTGACACTGTAAGGCAGGGCTGCTCCTGGGCTTGCCAAGACTAACTCTTTACAAGAGTGGAGGTTGTTGTGGTTGGGTGCCATCAAGTCGGCTCCGGCCCACAGCGACCCTATGTACACAGGATGAAACCCTGAACGGCCCTGCGCCATCCTCTCAATGGCTCCTGTGCCTGAGCTCATGGATGCAGTCACCGTGGGAATCCATCGCCTCAAGGCCCCCCCCCCCTCCCATGTTACCAAACACGATGCTCTTTCCCAGGAACTGGTCTCTCCTGACAACACGCCCAAAGTCTGTCAGATGAAGTCTTGCCATCTTGCCTGTAAGGGGCCCCCTGGCCTTACTTCTTCCAATATGTTGGTCCTTTTAGCAGTCTATGGTACTTCCAAGTACTCTTCTCCAGCGGTCTCGCTCCTAGGGAGCAGCTGGTGGGTTGGAACTGCTGACCTTGTGGTTAGCCGCCCAGTGCTTAACTCATTGTGCCATCAGCCCTCCTTTTCATCCTCCCTGACAGCTCTGGAACCAGGGGTCACCTTACAAGGAGCAGTGACATCAGTTCAAATGGCTGAATGCCACCACTCCTGCCAAGAGTCCATGGGACACTTGATATCCCAGAAGGCTTGGTCACAACCCGTCATCCCTAGGAGACACAGGAGACACTGGTGGGTGGGGACTCAGGAGACCCAAGTTCATTAGCCTCGTGTAATGCAGACACAGAAGGGCACTCCTGCTTTGAGGCTCTCCACTGCTCTGTGGGCTCTCTCGCCCTCAGCCCAGTGCAGCGCTCACAGCCTCCACTCCTCATCCCAGAGAAACGCTCCCGGCCGCCCCCAGCAGAGGGGTCGCTGCTCATACTGCTCCTCGCTGACAGTGCTTCTCTTCCCTGTTAACCCCTTCTCTCGCCAAGTTTCTGCTCAGTCATTAGTGTCTCTAGAAGGTTCCCATCACTGCTCTGATCTCGCCTGACCCTCCTTTCCTATACTGCCCGTACCTCCCCGCGTTCTCCCTCCGAGCAGTTATCGCAGACGTGGGGTTTATTGCTGTTGGGATCTAGGATTCCTGGATAGGCGCCCTGGCGGCACTCAGCTCTGAGCCTAATGGCTGGCTGGCGGTTGGAAGGCTCCCAGCAATCCGACGGGACGGCGCTACTCCCTCATACAGGTGCAGTCTGCTTCTGTAAACATGCCGGCTTGGTGATCCCGTGGGGCAGTTCCACTCTGTGCTACCGGGCTGTTATGAGTTGCAATCAAGTCCACAGCAATGGGCTCTGGTTGACGAGTCAAAACGCAACTGCAGGCCAAGCATGTCTGCCTTCCCAGTT